CGCTTGAAAGTATTTGTGAACAAGTTCCTATGATATGCAGGCCAAGTCTAGCAGACCAACTAGTGAACGCGAGATATCTGAGCCAAATATATAAGGTTGGATTTGAATTGGAGGTTATGGAGAGAACGGTCATAGAGAAAACAATAAGAAAACTCATGTTAAGTGAAGAAGGCAAAGATGTGAAGAAAAGAGTAGTAGACATGAAACAAAACATAGTTGCTGCTATGCAGATTGATGGTACTTCACATAAGAATCTCAAAGATTTGGTAGACTTCATTTCTGCCTTGCCATCACGGCTCCCTCCGGCAACGCCTGTTGTTGGGGCAATCATGAGTTCAAACCATACACCAAGCAAGTGTATCATAGAGTCCCGAAGTTAGAATAATTACATATTTTTGTTGCCTGTTAGCTTGGCAAGACAACAAGTCCTTTAATCACAAAGGAAGAATAAGACTAGAAATAAACTTTTCTTAATATCTTGGTGGCTATGTCAAGGCCATTGGGCCAATGCTAGTTTCTCACCTTAGTTTATTGATTTTGGTTTAATATGTTTGGAAACTTTGACATTTCGTTTCCTAGTTGTGAGAACTGAGTAATATTACCTCTTAGCATTTATGATAAATTGTTGCTCCGTAGTTTTTTCCCTATGTTTACTACTTGTCTACTACTCTACTTCCAAATACTTTGCTTGAAAATAATAGACTTATATACGTAGTATACAAAGCGATTTGGTAGGGTATATAAAAATAATGCTCAATTAAGTGTATTAATAATGTTTATATTAGTTATACTTGTATTAATCTTACACAAATTATTTCTTACGTATTATTTTGTTTGGAGTATTAAAAATAATATGCATTGCATAAAAATATTTATTTACAAAAATATCCTTTACAATTATGATGAAAAAAATATAAAAAGGATTTTGAGGGGTAATTGAGTTTTTAACTATGCTAATGCATGCATTAAATCTCTTACATTACTAATAACTAGAAATTCATGGTATTAATAAAAATACCTTAATAAATAATAACATTATTTCTACACAACATAAAAATATATACCAAAAAATTACTAATACACCAAATTAATACATTCATTATTTTTATTAATATACTCTGTCAAACGACCCCTAAACATATTGGTATTGTAGTATACAATGAGACCAACTGAGCAGGTAAAAGACCATATATATTCGAACAGGACTGAGTGAAGTGAACATACCTTTACAATTTGAATATAAGAAAATAATTCTACAAAAATAATTATAAGCTATTTTCAAAATTTTCATATGTAAAAACAAAAAAAAAAACATAAAACTAAAAACAATTTTGTAATGGTATTACAAGTGTAAAATTGCATTATAGTAATTTATAAGATAAAAATATATTGAATTCATATGTTTATTTGAATTTTATATTTAAAAAAATTGGTCCCTTTTTTTTCTCTGGGCCTTTTATCCCAAACAGTGTCCAGCAAAACCCTAGCCCCCAAGTCCTTCTGTATATAAAGAAGCACAACTCTGTTCAGAATTCAAACCCTAGCGTAGCTCAACTATGGCGGAGCAGCCGTCGTACCTTCTTATCTATCTCCTTTCAATCGAATTGATTGAATTTTACTTGCTTTTTTTTTGTTTTGTTTTGTAGTTTTGCAGTTTTGCCTTCCTTTTTGAATGTGCAAAAGCATTGGTACATGATCCTAAATGATGAAGACTTTAAATGAAGCTATGGATTAACATCCAAATGAAGCTTTTTTTTGTCATAGTTACTCTGATAGGATGTTTTCCATCTCCATTTTTGTTTGTTTCTAGTTTTCTGTGCAATTATCATAGTTTGTTAGGTTGTATAGATCATGGAAGATCTAATCTGTGTTTTTGATGTCTATTAATTATGCTGATAATCATTTTGATTGAGTCTAGAGTTTATCAGAAATAGTCTGCGTACCTTCTATCCACTTGTGAGAATGATGAATGGCAACTTTGCCGAGGTGATCTTTTATTGTAGATTTTCCTCTTTTTCCCTGTTGCCAATATTGTAATTGGACAAGCTTGGAGTAGTTTTGATTGATGCCTACTTGTAGTTTTGCATCAATTGATCCTCTAGCATGCCTACATTTTTTCAAAAATTGAAGTTTTCCACTTGTATCTCGGTAGTGTGGAATGTACGCAGATCTTACCTATTGTTTCTCTGGAAATTGAAATGTTCATTGCTCGTTTTTAATGGCAACTTTGCCGAGGGTATCTGTTACTGTTGATTCCCTCTTTTTCCCTGTTGCCAACATTTAAATTAGTTGAAGCTTGGATTAATTTTGGTTGATGAATACATTTGTGTATGATGATACCAACCACTTCCAGCTTGACGACATTCTTATTTCTTATTAAGCTTCGAGCTTTACTTTCTTTTGCTTTGTTTTTCTGAGAGTGGATTTGAGGTTACTCAAAACAGACTTTTACATTAAAGAGCATATAATCGTCATATGCAATATGAACAAACATATTCAAAATCATAGATGAATCACAAGTGCAAATGAAAAGTAGCTTAATAGTGAAATTGATTAAAAAACCTGTTATTCTATTACAAATCTAAGAATTAGAGAATTGATTATGCAATTAATCTAGAGAAATAAATGTTAGGTCACACATTGACCAACTAGAATTTTTAGATAATTAAGAGGAAATGACATATAACATAATATATATAATCATTTTTTATATGTCAAGGGTTTGTTTCCGATCATTTTTACATTAGCTAAGGAAAATCTGTCTTGATCCGTCACTTTGTCGTTCAAAATGCGCCACTTTGCCTTTCAAATTTGCAAAATCTGCCACTTTGCCTAAAAATAAGAAGTCACTTTGTCCTTCAAAATCCGCCAGCATAAAAGTAAGTAAGAAAGAATCTAGAGATATGAAGGGGTTAGTGGAAGACTTTAGAATATCTTGTCTTAGAAGACTATAGAATGCACTTGTATAGTATTTTTTATTTTTACTTTAGCTCCTAGGAAGTAGTATAAATAGAGGGCTCTCATTTTGTAAATTATCTAACCAAGTGTAAAGCATTCTAGTTTTGAACTCAAATTTTAGTAATGTCAAGAGAGTTTTGCATTCCACTGTCTTGATGCTTATTTTAGCCCATAAAGAAATTTAATGAGTCTACGCATTTTATTCTCCCCCGACTTTTAAATCCCTGAGGAAGGTCCATGTAAATCTCATCAGATCATTGAGGGCGCTCTCTCCTGTGTCTACACACCTGAACAATATACATATTGTGCTTCTCTATGTATAGATACGAGGAACTTTTGTATTGGAGTTCAATTTTTTTGTCAGATATGGAATTGTGGATAGTGCAATGATTCCTACTGTTGTTGGTTTTTCTACTTAGTTGGGAAAGATACTTCTTTTTTTATAGATAAATTTGTGCTTCAAACTATTGTAAATTGACAGAAGTTCATATGTCTATTCTTGATTTTTTATTTTCACAACTATTACGTTTTTAGTTCCAACTAAGTTGAGGTTGGCTATATGTCATGTTGCTCCATTTATGATAATCTTTGATGAAAAAAATTCTTGGTTCATATGCCTATTCTTAGTTCTCATTCAAATCATATATGTAAAATTTTGAATGTTCAAAAAAAAGATTATAGCCGATAAATATTAGTAACTGTAATAAAACTCAAATTAATACTAATGCTAATTGAAAAATTAAATCAACTCTAATAATGACAATAATATTGAATATTTGTTCTATACTTTACATTGATTTAGACATTTAATATACATAACCTAATTTCAATTTTTTTTAATGTCTAATCATCTAATTGATACTTATTAGACTTATTTTAGCATGATTTAGTACTTTTAAATTATGATGACTTATTCATTTGCAATATTTATTTTATGCAATTTCAATATTATATTTTATTGAATATTTTAATGTCATCACTTAACTCAAATTTTATGTTATTTTCTTAAGAAATGCCTTAGATAATTGTATTTTAGTAGGATTAAAGAAATATTTGAAGCATAAGTTAATTATATGTTTGTATGAACACTTAATAGAAAAAAAACCTAAAATCTGAAAAAACTTAGAAAACCCTTAGATTGAAAAATCTGAGTTTTATTAATTTGATTTGGTTTATAAATTTAAAAGTTCGACACAAATAAGTTAGTTTAATATTTTAAAAATTCAAACTAACTCGGTTATGTATCCCCCTACTTTAAACCAATTATATTTAATATAAGAGCAACTTTCACATATAGCAAACATAAAAATCATATTTGTATGTTATAGCTATAGTTTGCATAATTGTGCTCCATAGCAAATTTTTTGTTTGCTATAGAGCTTTTGATTTGTATAATTCGCTAGATACATCCAATTTTATACAAATTGTTCAGTTTTGTATAAATTCATTTATACATTGTAATTTGTATAATAAGATCTGTATTTATATAATTATAAGTGTATATGATGAAAATATATGTATTTGTATTTGTATATACACTTTTCTTTCGCTTTATACAAACACAAACGCATTTTATACCGAAATGTATAAAATGACTAATTGTATACCAAATCAGATGACAAAAAATGGGATGTTTGCTGCGAATTACAAATAAAATAAACTAAGGTTATAACATTTAATTTGAATTAATAGTTTGCTATTTCATACAATTTTCCCTTATTTTTATATAGCTTTATTATTTTTTTGTTATAATTTTTTTACTAATTTAGTAAGATTTACAAAAAAATTCAAATTATTTTGATAGAGTGACAATTTATTAAAAAATTATTTTTATGAATAAAAAATATAATTTAAAAATTCAAATTATATGTCCAAATAAAACTTAAGCTCACCTAATCTGAATAAACTTCTTATCAAATTAAAATAGACCAAATAAATTGAATCATATCATAGACCCGCCCACAGGCCACAACCACTATTGATTTTAGTTATAATCCCTCCTTAATATAATTGTCATTAAGTTAATCCCTTTTTCTTTATCCGTACTTAGCACAGTTCCCTAGGTCTCTTGTACTTCCCCTTGTCGTCTCTCTTTCTCAAATAATCTTCAAATTATTACTGGTATCAATCTCCATTGTTGTAGATCGATAATCCATCCCCCATTGGAGATTTGGGGATGAAAGAGTCAATCAAAAGCAGTACCAGCAGCAGCGATGAAGCTGTCTGGGAAATTAGACCCAGTGGCATGCTTGTTCAGAAGAGAGAAAACGATGCTGCCTCTAATCCCACTATCATCATCAAGGTCTCGTATGCTTCTCAGGAATTTGACCTTCCTGTGCCACCTGAATTCACTTTTGGTAATATTCTCCCCTCATTTCAGTAATTTTCAGCAATTTTTTTGGTTATATTTCGAGGTCGAAAGGATAGGGATTGTCCAGTTTGGTGTGGATTCTGTATAGAATGTGTGCTTATGAGTTTGTTTATTGTATGTTGCTTGGTACTAGTAGGAATCAAATTTTTAGTTTATGTGTTCCGGATCACAATTTTAATTATACATGTTAAAAGTAAAAAAGTTTAGGGTTTAGCCAAAACTATGGAATTCTGCCAAAGCCGTAACTGTTAGCATGATGGATAGCTCACACATAATGAATTAATAGCGAATAATTGTATATATTAATGTAACTATGTAGTTTTGTATATGAGTGTAATTATATCCAAAACTATTGAGTTCTGCCAAAGTCGTAAGTGTTAGCATGGTGAATAGCTCACACATCACGAATTAATAGTGTTTAATTGTATTTATTAATGTAACTATATAGTGATGTATATAAGTGTAATTATAGAGATTTGTTGTAGTAATCAAAGAAACTAAATATTGTGATAGAATAGCAGATTTTGAGGGATAGAATAAAGGATTGTTTAGGGATAGGAATGACGGATCTTTAGGGATGTACTCTGTATACTTTCTATTTAATGGCAGCACTCTCAATTTGAGAAGCATTCAACAGAAATTTGATAGTAACCACAAAGATGGCTCCACCCCTGGTAGGATGTGACTTGTATCTATCCTTACATGGTTTCTCAGTACAGTGGATAATGTTTCTAAAAAATGTTATTTCGTCCGTTTTCTTTCAATTTCTTAATAAATGATGATGTCAAGCTGCACTTGCACCCATCTCAACTATTCCATTGGGACCTGCATCCTCCCACCAAGGCTAAGGCTTAGATAGATTGAAAGAAGTCTACTGGGTTTTCTTACTTTTTTGGAATTCGAACTGCCTCCCATGATTCATTCGAGCTTCTTCCACTTTTATGCCACACTGTTGTTGCACCACTTGCTACTTATATATTGGCAAGGTAGATTTGTAGTTAGAATGGGAGGAAATGGAATGGTAGCTATCTACATTTTAGGATGAGGAAAAGTGTTTACAATGATAACCAACTACACCACAGTGCCTTCTTAAGCTCTTACCATTTTCTTTTTTATCACAATATTGAAAGCGATTATAGTCCTCGAAAGCAATGTTTACGACATTGTTACCTGTGATCTATGCAGTGTTTCAGTGTGTGTAAGCTTTTATTAACTCAAATCAAATCGATTTAGTAAATGTAATAGTTTTTATTGTTTTAGTGAAAGTAATAGTTTATTGTTGGATTTACTAAAATTCGTTCATGTTAAATTACTGTTGCATCGTCTATATTTGTACATGGATGTTATAAGTTGTCCACAATACTCTTGCTATGCTTGAGCTGTTCTAAGCATTTAATGCCAATCAAATTTGGATATAGGTGAAGTAAAAAGTATCCTTTCCTCAATAATCGGTTTGGAGCCTAAGGTGCAAAAACTTTTATTCCGTGGAAAAGAAAAAGAAGATCATGAATATCTGCACTTGGTTGGTGTGAAAGACAATTCCAAAGTGTTAGTTATGGAGGAAGAAACGGTTGAGGAAAAAATTCCTGAAGAGGTTAGGGTTACCACTGAAATATCAAGAGGAGCCGAAGCTGTTGCTGAAGTGAGAACAGAAGTGGATAAGCTCTCAGAGCAGGTTGATTTCCTTTTGTTGTAAGGTGGCTGGTGAAACCATCATCTCTTAATTTGAAGTCTTACTTTGGTCTTCATTACAACAGGTCTCTGCTGTACAAGCAGTCGTGTTTGGTGGTACTAATGTTGAGCACAAGGATATTATCCATTTGACAGAAATGCTGATGAGACAGCTACTGAAATTGGACGGCATTGAGGCTGCAGGAGAAGTAAGAGTACAAAGAAAGTCGGAGGTTTGTTTCCTAGACAATTAAGATTTTTCCTACTTGTCAAAATAATAATTATTGAGTTTATCCTAGCTTGACTTTCTACTGTTGCGATATGCCACTAACTAGACTTTGAAGTGTATTTGATGTTCTTCACCTAGGTAGCACTTGGTTTCAATTCTGATGACTTAACATTTGTGTAAAAATGACTGAATAGCTTTGCTAATCATGTGTAGAAAACCACATAAGATAGATAAAATGTCAAGCCCTCAACCCTTCGGGGTGGCATAGTGGTTTGGGCTTGGGACTTCCATGTTGGAGGTCTCAAGTTCGAAACCCCTTGCCAGCGAAAGCAAGGGGTTTGCCTTCTGGGTCGAACTCGTCGCACCGGGCTTGTCTAGTGCGGGTTGCCTCTCCTATGTGGTTTGCGAGCTATTGCATAGGATCAGGGGTTTTACCTTGTGTGCACCCAAAGGGTAGCAGTTGTGGGTTTCCCTTGTCATAAAAAATAAAAAAATGTCAAGCCCTCAAAGTTTGGAGATTCGAGGCTGTATGCATAATTCCCTTTGCTGTTCTTTCTGGTAGAATTATGCCCTTTTTTTACAGTATATTTTCACTAATACCGAATGTTGCTTTATAGTTAATTGCATGAGATTGGATTTTTTTTTTTTTAACACAACTCTGTGACATAGCTTGGATGTCTGCCCAAACATAAGTTGTCCCTTTAAATCTTGAAAATAATTACATTCATTTTGACACCAAGAAGTCCATTTTGTTCGTATTAGGCCTGATCTAAATTATTTTATACACAACATAGCAAGTTGAGGCCAGCTGTATGAATCATCACTGTCCATATCGCTGCAATATAAGTTCATCTCATTGCAGTATTGTATAAATAAAAAAAAAAAATGAGTACCTGAACTTTTCTATATTTTCCTACTGGCAGGACTAAGGGGCTCTTAGAAAATAATGGACTAAAATAGACGTGCTAACATAACTAAATCTTAATCCCAACTAATTGGTATTGCCTATTCAGATCTCTTTCTTCCATTCTTCCCTATTCTTTTCGCTAGGTCTGCATGGACTTCAAAAGTTCTCTCATTTTGCCATATGTGGTTAGATTTAATCGTCTAATATTGTATGGATGCATATATACCTTAGCATCCTATCCACAGACACACATCTTGTAGATATGTTGGACTTAAGCCTGACAGTCAGTCCCATATAACTTGCCTTCTAAATTAATTTTTTCGGCGTGTTATTCTTATTGGTAATCAAGATAACAAACTTTGGCTTAAAGAGAGGTTGAGTGGATGATGAAACTTGCCTTTTAAGTTAATTATTTCAGATTTTATTCTTATTGGTAATCAAGAGGCGAAACAAGCTTAACTTCTAAAAGAAAAGGAGAGATGCTACCTAAGGGTGTGGCTAGTGGTCGATGTAATGGGTTGAGAACTATGAGGTCTCAGGTTCAATCAGCCGGAGAAAAAAACATGAGGTGATTTCATCCCATTTGTTTAAGCCTTGGCGGACAAATTTACCCAGTACCAGTGCCTGTGCTGCTGGGAATTAGCAGGTAACACGTGGAATTAGTCAAGGTGTGCCCAAGTTGGTCCAACACCATAGTTTCAAAAAAAAAAGATGTTACAAGCTTTGGTTAAAGAGAAAGTGAGTAGATGATGAGGGTCTTCTGTCTGCGACCCTGTGTGTCACATATTTATAAATTTAGCTCAGCAACATTTCCTTCTTCCGTTAAAAAAATGGTTAATAAGAAATTATGCAATGCATATCATTTTGAATACAACTAACAAAACAATCAATAAGAAATAATCCAGGATAATTTGTTTTCAAACCAAACGACCCCTGAATGAGTTAAATTTGTATGTCATCTAAAGAAATAAAAAAACTAATAAAACTGAAACGGAAATAATCAACTCTCTTTGGTTTTTTGTATTTGTTAACAAAGAGATATAGTGGTTTTGATTTCTTTTTAGGTAAAAAGCAAACCAAACTGAACCATGAACATTCATAGCTATGTCTATAGAAAATTTTTGGTGGAATAGGATGCTTCCACTAGTAAATGCAAGGAAAGAACTATAACAACTGACTCAAGCTAGTTGGGTCGACTATTTGAATCATTATTATTCATTTCACTCCTTTTAGACTGTTTCATTCCAATATTTGATAAATTAGAATCTCCAACCTTAGAAATTCTCTACATTTTCTATTGACATACGAGTCCCCCAGCGAGATTAACAAGTCTCCAAACAAATATTGGACTACCACTAGACCTAAAGGTGTAGCCTTGTGGTCAATGAAGTGGGAGAGAACCATAAAAATCTCAGGTTTAAATTCCAACGGAGATGAAAAAAATACGATGTATTTATTACGTCTTGATTACATGATATATCATACCATTGTCCAGAAACTTTGAGCTTAGATATCTAAAGTATCTACATTTAGGCCTTGCAATCCTGTTTATCTTACATCAAGCCTACTCATATGCTCGTTGCCCTACTTATAGTGCATATATTTCGTCTTATTTCCACATATCTTAGAACTCTTACGCTCAGAGATGTTTCTATATAATTCTAAGTTTTTGTTGATACCCTTGGTTGATTAGTCAATCAACACAATATGGTCTGCAAAAAGTATACACAACTAGTATACACAATTGGGAAAAATTAATAACTCAAGGGGAAGTGCACAGCTGATTCCAGAACCGCCATTTAAGTTATTTAAGCTGAACTGCAAATAATTAAAGCCACTCGCTACTCCTAGTTGACAGTTGTGTTAAATCAGCTAAACCTAATTTGATATTCTGATCATGGAAGCTGGAAATAAATTTACCATTTAGGATGTCTTTAATCACTCATATGGAAAAGTGGCAAAACATCGTTACTGCTTAGGTTTTGTGAAATCAAATTTACCAACAACAACAATATACCAAGTGTAATCCCACAAGTGGGGAGGGCAGATTATAATGTAACCACTTTTCATTTCCAACTTCGACACGTCTATAATGACTTATCTTTATTATTAGCTTGGTTATCCTTGAACAAAGGAAATATTTGGTCGGGAAATCCCCCCCTCCCCCTTTTTTTTTTTCCCCCTCTACTTGGCTTTGCCTCTCAACTTAAGTTCCTCAATTTCTGACTTGAACTGTCACTTCGCTGGAAAAGTCAGATCACAATCTATCTTATTCCTTGATGTTTATTTATTTGATCTCAGTAGCCTCTTTGTCTGCATACATTGTGAACTTCCTTGGCAAACTGATTCGAATTGCATAACTAATGCATTTCTATCAATTATTAACGGTCTAAACTAACTGTAAAATGGTAATTTTCGCTGTCTTCATAATCTTCTACATTGATCTTTTGATGTTTAGAAACTTTTCCTTCATATTTGAGATATCTGTTGTGAATATGATTAGAAAAGTGGAGCGTTGTTAACTGCTGCATTCAATACTTGCTTCTAGAGGAAAACTGCTGCTTGTGCCCTATTGGGTTTTTACATGATTGCAAATATTGATGATCAGTGCACTATAATGTCAAGTTTTTTCTCCCCTTTTCAGGTTCGTCGTGTCCAAAACTTAGTAGAGGCAATGGATGCACTAAAAGCAAGAAATTCCAATCCCTTTATCAACAACAGTAATGCCGTGTCAGTGACTACTCAATGGGAGACATTTGAGTCGGGGGTTGGAAGCCTGAACGCTCCACTACCACCTAGACCTGTGCTTGAGGTTGGAAGCATGAACGCCCCATCTCCTCCTAGACCTGTGCTTGGGGTTGGAAGCATGAACGCCTCACCTCCTCCTAGACCTGTGTTAGGGGTTGGAGGACTGAACACCCCACCACCTCCTACACCTGTGCCTGGGGTTGGAAGCATGAACACCTCACCTCCTCCTAGACCTACGTTTGGGGTTGGAGGACTGAACACCCCACCATCTCCTACACCTGTGCCTGGAGTTGGAAGCATGAACGCCTCACCTCCTCCTAGACCTGTGTTTGGGGTTGGAGGACTGAACACCCCACCACCTCCTACACCTGTGTCGGGGGTTGGAAGCCTGAACGCTCCTCTACCACCTAGACCTGTGCTTGAGGTTGGAAGCATGAACGCCCCATCTCCTCCTAGACCTGTGCTTGGAGTTGGAAGCATGAACGCCTCACCTCCTCCTAGACTTGGGGTTGGAGGACTGAACACCCCACCACCTCCTACACCTGTGCTTGGGGTTGGAAGCCTGGCCACCCCACCTCTTAGACCGCCCTCAACTATAGTGACCGAGGATTGGGAACAATTCGAATAGAGTAGCTGTATACGTTTCCATGTTATGATTTTGAAGAAACAGAAAATGCCAGTTATTAGGCACTAGTGACCACTATTATTTTGTCATCTATACTGTCGTTACAGTTACATATTTTTGGTGGATGTAAGTTCATGATCAGGCAAACATAGAGGTTTAATGAAATCGTGTTGGTAAGTTACTTCTGTGTGTTGTATAAGATTAAATCAAAGTTTAGTGCATAATTCTTTTATTCTTCACCTTATATCTGGCAAACCTCTCAGCCAGAGCAGTTTACGAAACAACGTGAACCAGGTTTCACAAAATAATATCGCATAATCACCCTCAAGGCCACTCCATCTAGGGGTGTCAAATTGACGGGTTGGACTAAACTAGGGCATATAAAATTAGCACTCGGATAATAGCTCTGAAAATGAACGAACTTCTTGATATCAAGTGTTTTGTATTGCCTTTGTGGCCCCATCAGGCGCGAATTTGGATTGGTCGGGCTAGTAATTTCTGATAAAGGATGATTAAATTAAAAAAAATGTAATATATACTAGATTTGTCTCTTTCTACTTTCTAGTCATTAGTTTTGATGAAGCTCAAAATAAAAAATGATGGTTCACTTGTTACTTTCAGTTTCCGGACCTATGTGCGCGCTTTTGTCTCATAGACCTCAATTATTCTTTTTGGTTTCCCACACGATCAATGATGGTTCACTTGTTACTTTCAGTTTCCGGACCTATGTGCGCGCCTTTGTCTCATAGACCTCAATTATTCTTTTTGGTTTTCCACACGGTACCTGCTTATGAGGACGACTAATTCAGATTTATGACAAGAAGTTTCACTTTTTAAAGCGGTAAGGTGATTTCATATCTAGGGTTCAAATCAAGATCTATTCAGTATTTTTTTACACGGAATCCAAGTTAACTTTGAACTACTACAACATATGCAGTGGAGAAGGTAAAGTATGCACAGACCTTATAACTACCTCGTGGAGGTAGAGAAGCTAAATTTTGAGCAA